TATACTTTTTAACTATATAATATATATAATATACCCTAAGTACGCGCTTAACTTAGTATAGTGATTTCGATACGAAAACCGCTATATAATTCGGGATAAATAAGCTATTACTATTTATTAATAATAAGCTAAACGATATATTTACGTAGCGGCGGCGGCTAAAAAGGTTAACTATAAAGGTCGGCTATAGAAGTTAGCTATAAAGGTTAGAGGTAGCCCTTAATTATAAAGGTTTTAAATTTTAATAGCGATATAGAGGTTTTTTTAAAAAAAGGGCTAAAAGGGCTAATATTTAGCTATTTAGAGCTTATAAAGATTTTTTTCATCTTTATTACTTCCTATATTACTTATAAACTTCTCTCTATTTAAATTAAATAAATTACTAAATAAACCTATTAAATAAACCTATTAATATATAAATTACTAGCTAAATAACTAGTTAAATAATTAATTAAAATTAGTTAAGAGTCCGGCTAATTAAACTATATTAATGAGAATTTATTTATTTAATATATAATTAGTAATTAGTAGGCTAAGACTTTTTAATAATACCCTTTAATAAATTTATTTCCCTCAGACTAGGCCCCTTTTTTAATTAGCTCGACGCTATAGCTATTATAATTAATATAAATATATTTAAAAAGTAATAAAGTACTTTTTAATAATATAAAATTCGGCTAGGTAATAGTATAAATATTATAAACGGCCGGGCCGGTATTAATATTAAAATCTAATATATTAACGCTAGCTTAGTTATAATAATTAAAATAGGTAAACTAAAAGTATATAGGGTTAAAGTAATAAGCCGGTATTTAAAACAGCTTTTATAAGCTCCCCTAGGTAATAATAATATTTATATAAAAAAAGAGATTATATTAGACCTAGCTATTTACGTAGGTTAGTATTAAGAGGTTTTATATACGTTAAAGTAAATAAAGCTTGCTTTTTAAACGGCTAGAACTTAAAAAACTTAACGTAGTAAAAGGTCGGGAGCTATTTTAGTTAGTAGTTAGGTTTAGAGCGTAATATATTTAGTTTTCCTTAATACGTAATATACAGTACGGCCCCGGCGGATTGCTCTATCGGGGGGATAAACGTTTTTATAAAAGTAATGTTTAATAAAAGGCTCGAGTACTTTATTAATAATAAAAAAATATAAATATAAATAAAAGGATAGGTTATATATAAAGAATAGAAAAAAGAAGAAAAATAAAGAGGTTTAATAAACGAGTTAAAAGTTAGATTATATCTTTAACTACTGTAATTAAATAATAAAAAAGAGAGATAGTTAATATTGAATTTGCAACTTAATTTAACCTCGGGGTAAAGGGCCGGTATAGAGGCTATTTACGGGCTGTATTTATAATAACTACGGCCTACTTAACCTATAATTAGAACCTCCCTTTTCTATTTTATATAGAAGATTATCTAGTTTAATTAACCTCTTTATTAACTAACGGTTCGAACTGTATACTTATAATAGGCATATTAATAATTATTAATAAAGTAGGTTCTCGTTAATATAGTTTAACTAGCCGGACTCTTAACTAGTTTTAATTAGTTATCTATCTAGTTACCTAGCTAATGATTTATATATTAATAGGTTTATTTAATAGGTTTATTTAGTAATTTATTTAGTTTAAATAAAGAAGTTTATAAGTAATATAAAAAGTAATAAAGATAAAAAGAATCTTTACGAACTTTAATATAATAAAAGAGTAGCTAAATATTAGCCCTTTTAGCCTTTTCTTTTTCAAAACCTTTACGTTATTATTAAAGTTTAGAACCTTTATAGTTAAGGGCTATTTTTAACCTTTATAATTAACTTCTAAAGTTAATCTTTTTAATTACTATTATAATATAATAAAAGGGGTAGTTTATTTATTTTAAATTATACAATAATCTTTATATTAAAATTACTATACTAAGTTAAGTACGTATTTAGGGTATATAGTATATATTATATAGTTAAAAAGCGTACTATATTATATAATTTTTAATAGCCTAATCCCGTTAAAGTCAATCTTTTACGCCTATAAAGCTAGAAAAAAACCACTATATACTTTATATTTATAAAGCCGTAGCGAATATAGAGCTTTTAATAATATTATTAAAAAAAAGGACGAGGGTTTAATAATGAGTTTTACTATTAAGGTAATGCTATCTAGCTATTAGGGTAGTAACCTACTTGTTTAGTTAATAAAAGAATTTTATTTCCCGAGAGGACTACCTTCTTTATATATTTATAAGTTGCGTTATTTTGGGAAATAACTATATATAGGTATATATTCCGTAGTTTTATCTATCAATTTTTAATATTACGGCTAGCTAGTTATAGTAAATATATAGTTTTTTTTTTATAGCTTTATAAGTATAAAAGATCGACTTTAACGGGATTAGGCTTTTAAAAGAAATTATAATATAGTATACGTTTTAACTATATAATATATATAATATACTCTAAATACGCGCTTAACTTAATATAATAATTTTAATATAAAAACCGTTATATAATTCGGGATAAGTAAACTACTCTTTTTATTATATAATAATAGTAGTTAAAAAGATTAACTATAGAAATTGGTTATAAAGGTCGGCTATAAAAATTAAAAATAGCCTTTAATTATAAAGGTTCTAAATTTTAATAGCGATAAAGAGGTTTTTAAAAAAAGGGCTGAAAGGGCTAATATCTAGCTATTTATATTAAAGTTTATAAAGATTCTTTTTATTTTTATTACTTTTTATATTATTTATAACTTTCTTTTTATTTAAACTAAATAAATTACTAAATAAATTTATTAAACGAACTTATTAATATATAAACTATTAGCTAGGTAATTAGTTAAATAACTAGTCGGAACTAGTTAAGAGTCTAGTTAGTTAAACCATTTTAATAAGAACCTGTTTATTTAATATATAGTTAGTAATTAGTAGGCTAACGATGCCCTTTGATAAGTCTACCCCCCTCGGACTAGGCCCTGGCTAGCTCGATACCGTAGCTAATATAGGTATATTTAAGAAGTAATAAAGTCCTTTTTAATAATATAAAATTCGGCTAAGTAACGGTACGAACGTCGTAAATAGCCGGGCTAATATTAATATTAAAATCTAATATATTAATGCTAGCTTAGTTATAATAACGTAGTAAATAGGCTAGAAATATATAGGGTTAGGGTAATAAACTAGTACTTAAAATAGCTCTTATAAGCCCCCCTAAGTAATAATAATATTTATATAAAAAAAGAGATTATATTAGACCTAGCTACCTATATATATCACGAAAGGGAACTCGAGGCAGGTCGGAACGCTACTATATTAACCTAATAAACATAACTTAACGTAAAGAGGGAAAAAGTAAATTAATAAATAGAATCTAGGGCGCTAGGCTTTTAGGCCTAGCGGTCTAGTAGTTACGTAACCCGTAAAGGGTCCGCTAGGTACTTAAAGCCCGGGTATATAGGGGCTTAGCGCCTAGTATTATAATATTACCCCCCCCCTCTAGTATAAAAAGGTACTATCCGCAGCGCTCTATTATCTAACTATATCCTTTATAATTATCTCTTTATAAGCTACTAAAATCCCGCTAGTTACCTATCGTCTTCCTCTATTCTATTATCGGCTAGCGAGGCCTAGAATTTCACTTTTTTATAAATATTAATAAAGTAGAGGTCGGTACTAGCGCGGGTCTAGTCTATAGAGTACTAGACTATAAAGCTACCGCAGGCCGAGGCCTACTTCTAGAGGGTCCGCTAGAGGGCTTCGAGGTAGTTGGCTATATTTAACGCTAACGATAGCGGGTTAAAGTAGTGCGCTATAGCGCTCGTAATAGCTATTATTGCTTATTAAATATAAAAAGAATTCTATATCAATTCTTAGGACTAGTTAAATCGTTAAGAGGATAAATAGTAGTATAGAGTAGAAAATTAATTTCTAAATAGTAGTTCTAAATTCGTTAGTAATAGCTTTTTAACTATATAGCGAGGGAAAAAAGTTTAGTAAGTCCCCTACTCTTAGGCCTTTTTTAATAAATTCACTATAATAAAAATTATTATAGTATTATTATTAACCTATAATAAAGCTAGGTTATTATTAATAGCTACCTCTATTTATAATAAGAGGTTTTATAGCGGCCCTATAGCTATAGAATATTATTTATAAAAGTCCTATAATACTATTAGTACGTAATAAAAGCTCTTTACATTATACTATATTAAGTTATTATTATACCCCTTTTAATTAGCCTAGTACTATAGCTTACCGTACTATATTTATAATTTAATTATTTATAAAACCTCGTATTTAAATTTATTAGTACTATAATAGATCGGTAATAGAGGGTCTTAATATTAACTAAATAAAGGGTCTTCTATAGCCTTCTATAGTTTACTCGGGTAAAAGACTAAGTACGCTTTACTATTCGCTAATAATTTAACGATCTATATATTACCTAGACTTACGTTAATAATTAACTAAGGGCTAGCCTAGGGCTACTATAGCTTATTAATATCTTAGGTCTTTTAATATAATACGTTTATAAACACTTTATTACTGACTTTTAAGTTATTTAGCCGTTAATAATAATTAACGTACTTTTAATATTTTATTTAAATAATTTCTATATTACCCCTAGTAATCTCCTAGGCCTTATAAATACTTTAAGCTATTTACTAAGCCTCGGTATAGTTAAACTTCTTTTTAATTAAATTAAAGCGCCGGGTTCTAATAGCTTAGTTAAGAAATAGCTAAGACTAGTAACTAAATTTAACTTTATAAAATAATAGCCCTATAGTCTTACTTAGCTAGGCTATATAAATAAAGTCTACTATAAGTAATATATTACTCTAGTTATTTTAATAATAATTAACTAGGGGCTATAGGTACTAAAAAATATACTAATTTAGGACCTCGGTCTAGCTATTTATTTATAAATAATCTACTATTAATAACTATAGTTTAATATTATAGAGCTTATATAGTTCTCTTTAAAAGTTTAATATAAGCTAAGGGCCGTAGTTAAAAATAATAATTTTAAATAGCCTAAAGATTAATAATACTCTTTTATAAAATATTTTGTTTATATCCCGCGCTATAATAGTCTTATAATAGGGTATTAAGATAACTCTTTTACTTAATCTATTAACTACTACGTATATTATATTATAGCCCTTTTAATTAGGGGGCACTATTATAAAATCTATCGAAATATATTATTACGGGTAGTTAAGTACTAATAAAGGCCTTAGCTCCCCTAGGGACTTATTATAGGGCTTTTAAAAGTAATAGTATATATAACGTATATAATAAGCGAGTAAAATAGATAAGCGAGTAAAACATAGAACCGCGACTATATTACTTTAATATAATCGGGCGCTTTTCTTTTATAACTTATTATAACGTATTAAAATAAAGAATTTAATACTTAGCTTACCCTCTAGGCTATTTAAAGTTATTTAAAACTAAGCGCTCGGGCTATAGCTAAGATCTATTTAGTTAGCTATATTATATTAACCCGGTAATTAAAAAGAATATTATTATGACGTAATATTATACTAAATTTGTATAATTTAACGGTTTTTAAAAAAAAGAAGTTAGTTAAATATATCCTCGACCTAAATTCTTAATTATTTCTTTCTTAGCTTCGTAATATTAAAAAAATAATAAATTAATTATTTATTAACTACGATGCGCTCTTTATTAAAAAGCGATAGGTTTCGAACTTTATTAAATAATAGTTATAGTTATAAACGCGTCGTTTTTATAAATATAACTATAAAAGGGCTTAATATAAAGATCTAGTTACGATAAACGCGTAGTTTTTATTTATAATAAATATAATTATAAAGTACAGTATTATAAATTTAGATATTTATAATTTTAACGAGACTAGTTTTATAATAGGCTAGATCTTAACTAGTATAGTCGTAATTAATACTAAAAGGCGTTTAAATACGAAATTAATATAACTTAGTAATTATAAATAGGTTATAGTTATTTAGGCTATTAGCTCGTTAAGTTATAGCGTCCCGCTATATATTATCGTTATAAATTAATATTACCTCTTTATTTAGTATATAGAATCTAGTCTTTTATATAATTAGGTTATTATAACGTTTAAAAATAAATAGATAATAAATAAAAGAGGCCTAGATTAGGCTCAGTATTTTAAATAGTATATAAAACTATATAAAAAGGGTTAATATTACCTTTTTATTATTAACGGATATAAAAGTTATTACTTTATAGATTTTGAGCTTTTTTATAAAAAGAATAATATTATTATTCTATATATACTGGCTTATTCATTTTATTTATTTTAGCCTTTAAATATCGGATATTTTAGGCCTCTAAAAAAGGTATATAGTTAAGAAATCGAGGATAAAATATATCGGGGTAATATATATATTATTAAAAAGGACTTCTTTTCGGCGTTTTATAGGGCTTTTATATAAATAATTATAAAAAAAAATATTTAAAGAGGATTTAAAAGGGCAGGACTTATACCTTTAAATATAAAGAGTATACTTTTAAAGCTTAACGTAAAGTTATATACTCCGACGCTTTTAAAATCCTTTTTAATAATACCCCTAGTATAGACTTTTTAAATACTAAATAACCTAACCGAGGCGTCTTTATAATTATAATTTATTAAAAATAGAATTATTTATTATTAAAATAGTTCTTTAACTTTAATTATCGAAGCTATAGAGTATCTATTTAAGGGGGCTCGTAAGTTTATATATTAAATTACTTTATTAAAATTTAAAAACTAAATCTTTTAAAAAGAGAATAATTTATTTAATTAATGTTAAAGAGCTAAAAAAAACCGTCTTTAATAAAAAAGAAGTTTTATTATAGTTAAAGGAGAGGACTTTTAGTTATAAAAAAAGGCTATAGCTTAAATAGAAAAGGAAACGTACCGGAGTAGTAGTCGCCGACCGAGGACTAAAACGGGCTAATGACGATATAGCGTCTATAAAAATACTAATTATAATATATAAATATATTAATTTAATAAAGAAATATCTAAAAAAGAGGACTTTAAATAGTTTTATTAAATTAATAAAGTAGGCGTTAAGATTTGCTAATTTATATAATATAGTTACGGTTCTATATTTTACTCGCTTATCTATTTTACTTGTTTATTATATACGTTAATAGTTTTTAATATATTAATATATATCTATTATAAAGCCGGGCTAGTAGTATTACTACTTAACTATTTTAACTATTTTATTTTAGCTTAGGTATATAAAGAGCTTTTATTTATATACTTTATAGATTATTATAATATATAAATTATCCTCTTTTAAGATAATAAGCTTATTATTTATTATAAATAAGCCGTTATTCTAATTTTTTTAGCGCTCGTAGCCTTTATAAACTAGCGCTCGTATCGGGGCTAATAACGGTATCCTAAAGTTATAGTTTAGCTTTAGTACTTTTTTAATTAATAAATACCTTTAAAGTTTATTGTTTAATATAAAGGTACTAACGGCGAGCTTAGGTTATTAAGCTATAGTTTTTAATAATATTCATAGTTTAATAATAATATTTAGTAATAGTAGCTCCGGGGGTAATAAAACCTAAGTATAATTAACCTCTTTAAATACTTATTAAATCCTAATATTCTCTATCTTTTTTAATAGCGCGTTAATAAATATATTTTTTTACCCTAGCCTATACTATATTTAAAAATTAAAATTAATTAAGGAACTAGCCTAGCGGGCCTATTATAAATTTAAAAGCCGCTTTGTTATAAAGAATAGTAGCGGCTAATAATCTATAATAATATTAAATTTTTAATAATAACTAACTAGCTTAGCGCGCTATTTTTCTAAATAAATTATTATTATTAGTATTTCTTTATTATATATAATATAATTAAGTTCTATACCGTTTATTATTTTTAAATAGAACGTAATAGGATACTATAGGTTATTATCTATTTATTACTAAACTTAGGCCCCGGCGTATACTAAATCTAATATATTAGTTTTTAAGTATATAAATAGCTCTGGCTAGAAATAGTAGAGTATAAGTACCGTTATAAAAAATAGTTTTAATATTTCGAACGCGCTATTATAATCTATATTAAATTAAAAGGGTACGCCCTTATTAATTAACTTCGTTAATAGCCTAGCTAAGTATTTATAGTCCTTTATAAACCGTCTATAGAAATTATAAAACCTAAAAAATAATTAAATACCTTTTAATAATATAAATAGCTTTTAATTACGTATTATAAAGACTTTCTTTTCGTTAAGTTATATACTATTAATACTAACTACGAATCCTAAGTACTTTATAGTAATAATATTAAATTTAAATTTCTTAATATTGGCCTATAATCTAGCTTTTTATAAACAATTTAGTACCTTTATAATATATTCGTAGTACTATAAGGGGTCGTTTAAAAAAATCAAAATATTATTTATATATATAATATAAAAGTTATCTAAGTATTTTATTAATACGTCGTTTATATACTATTAATATATAGCTAGCCTATTATAAAGATTAAAGAGTAGCATTTTATATTTATATATTTTATAGCGGGTATAAAAGGTTATAAAGCCCTCTAACGTAAGGTTAAAGTAAATATAATAAAAAGCTTATTTAATATTAAATTTAATAAATACCTTTGCTCGGCTTAGCCGTACTAACGTCTCGTTAATTAAAAATAGAGGGTATCGATCCTTTTTTATAATCTCGTTTAGCTTTTTAAAACTAATATAGAATCGTAGGTTACCGTTATATTTTTTAATAAATAATATTAATAACGTAAAGGGGGCGTTCCTAAGTTTAATAAATCTTTTATAAAAGTACTTTAAAAAATAGGCTCGGGTCGCCTCTAACTTAAGTATTAATTATTTATAGAGAAAGTAATAAATAAGCTTTTCTTAACCTCCCTTTATAAGCTCTATTTTATAATTATAGTTACGATATAGCGCTAGTATATCGCTCGCTATTTTATTAAATATATTTATTTACGGCCTTAATATTTCTAAAAGCTTTTTAATAATAAGGTCTCGGGTCTTTTAATTATTACTATTTAGCGGGTCTTTTTACCCTCTCTATTTATCCTCGATTATTTAGTCTAGCTTATATAATAATATAAAGCCTAGCTCTATATCCTCGCGCTTTAGGTTAATTTTAAATATTAAGGTATTAATAAAAATAATATTTAGGGTATCGTTTACCTTTTTACGCTAAGTAGAGGTCTATACGAGTTTAGTTTTCGTTAGGGGTATTAATAATATATTTTAAATCGCGCGGTCTATTTTCTAGGTATTTTTAGTGTCGTTAGACCGCTATATATATCGATCTCTTTTATTTAAAAGTTAACTAAATATCTTAATAAATTTAAATAGTACCCGTTTCCTTTATTATTATTTATTATATTATACTATATCTATTTCAAATAAATCCTACTATCGCTCAGTATTAATTTAATATTATGTATTAATAACCTTAAAAGTATATAGATCTTTAATATCCTAGATAATAATAAAAGGGGTATTTTATAGTAATAATTCTTCGGGCTATATAAGGCGCTTATAGCGTACGTTAAGGTTTACCCTATAATACTTAAACTACTTCTATTTAAGGATTAAGTCGTAGCGCCCTATATTAAATTAAAATAGGGATATTTTTAAAAAGACCTAACGGTTAATATATAAATTAATAGTCTATATTATATTAACGTCCTTTAATCGCTCGCTATTAAATCTAATAATAAAAATAGGGTAACGTATATAATAAGCGAGTAAAATAGATAAGCGAGTGAAATATAGAACCGCGACTATATTATATAAATTAGCAAATCTTAACGCCTACTTTATTAATTTAATAAAACTATTTAAAGTCCTCTTTTTTAGATATTTCTTTATTAAATTGATATATTCGTATATTATAATTAGTATTCTCGTAGACGCTATATCGTTATTAGCCCGTTTTAGTCCTCGGTTAATAACTATTATTCTAGCGCGTTTCTTTTTTTATTTAGGCTATAGCCTCTTTTTATAATTAAAGGTCCTCTTTTTTAGTTATAATAAAACTTCCTTTTTATTAGAGACGGTTTTTTTTAGTTCTTTAGCGTCGACTAAATAGGTTATTCTCTTTTTAAAAAATTTAGTTCTTAGATTTTAATAAAGCGATTTAG